CTGCGATCATATGGAAACCAGCCTTAATGGCAGATCAACTGGGATCTTGGTGAAGAGGGAAACACCATCAAAAGATACCAATTCTTCTTTTGCGTTAAGAGTTTTACCTCTTATAAAATCCGCAAATTCTTAGGAATTTCTGACTTTGTAATCAGTATTCCCAACTATAGGAGACAAAATTCTCAGACTCTAAAAAACAACGAACTGATGCCATTTATTCTATTCATTGCAATGACTGTGATCACGAGTACATCGGACAAACCAAACGCCAGTTTGGTACACGCTTAAAAGAGCACCAAAAAGCGGCTTTCCTTTGCAAAAAAACAAACAAACAAACAAAAAAAAAAACAAGAAAACTCCGCATTGTCGAAACACGCTTGCCAAACTAACCACACGTCGTTTGGTATAATTCTAAAATTATCACCACTAACCGGTGTTATCATCAGCACCATTGTCTGGAAGCTTGGCACATTAGCTCTGCCCTTGCTCCTTTAAGGACGTTCGCGCGAAAATTTTCCAGTCGATATATTTTTTTTAATGAATAAAGGCGTTATTTTATTGTAATATTTTCACATTTTTTTCTGTTTGCCGTCAAGCTATGGAAAGAATTAGATTTTCGGATGCTCGTGTTGTACGTGTGCGAAAACAGCCCGAGCTAAAAATTTTGCAAGTTTTCTGGTCATAACGCCACTAACCAGCATTGTTAACGAGCAGACTGTTCGAAGTAATTTAAGCGAATAAGCTGGACAGATTGGAGGATGTCCAAGATGGCTGAAGAAGGAGCACATTCACGCAAGATTTCGTTGCATAATTGCCATATGTAAGCTTAAGATTTACCTGGAAAATTCTGCGCACCTCATTACAATTGTTTTCTTTTTTTTACGACCTATTCTCGCCTTTTTCATCTTTGAAATGTTTTTATATTCTACCAATCCCCTGCCGCGAGCTACAGCAGGCGACAAAAACAAGAAATAGGAGCCGCGGCGCTGAGCGTCTCGATTTTGATTGGATCATTTTGACAGCCAGACACTTCACAGCGTCTTGGGTTTTGCATACTTAATTAGGGGGCAAAATATCGAAAATGACGGCGTCCTTACAGCCGTCAATCATGCAACTTGAAGTCTCAAAGTAACGGATGAAAGGAAACTGACAAAAGTTCAATTGAGGCCTTGCACTATTGTAAAATTGATATTAAAAATGTAGAGTAAAGAACAGAGTCTTTAGATGTGTTAAATATTTTTAACATATCTAGAGACTCTTTGTACTTTGACACTCGCCCACTAGATCATATTATTCGTTGTTATTCATATTTGTACCTTATTATTTATTTCATACATTTTCCCCCCACATTCTTTCGCTTTTCACACGTTTTTACTTTACATCTGTATATAAGCCTTACGCGGAATATTTTTTCTTATCCCTGATGATGTCGTAGATCGGCGAAAGCTTGGATTTTTAAAAGATTTTAATATCAATTTTACAGTAGTACAAGGCCTCAATTGAACTTTTGTCAGTTTCAGTTAAAACGCTACTGAAGAGCAACATCCAACGATTAACGGATGAAATGCTAATTAATGGCATGTGCCACCCCTCAGTTGTCTCCAGGTGGAAACTTAGCAACGTCAGATCAGTTTGAGACGAAATAAAATTCATAACCACGATCCTGATTGTTACATAAATTTTCTGCAGCTTTTGATTTTCTGAGTTGAGGCCAAAAAGAAGAATAAAGGTAGGTAGCAAGAATTTACTGATCTAAATATTGCCGCCAAAAAGCCCGAATCCAGGCGAAAACCAATTGGCTATGTGTTTGCGAAAACGTTCAGATATGTTTTCAAGTAAAAACAACGTAAGAATTACGATGTAAAAAGAGGTTCACTAAGTACGTGTAGTATTTTCCTTTGACTTGGGTCTGGTAAACGTAATACATTTAAGTAGATTTGACAACATTTTGTTTCGGCATTTGCAATAACCAGCTGGTATTGCTCTGGATTGATGTTCATATCTATGTTTCAATTCGGAAATGCAGCGTTATATTACAATGTTTGCTCTTCCCTGAGCCTTGAATATCGAGACTGAGAAGAAGAAAGACATTGAATTACCAAAACGTCTCGTTTCGAATTTAATAAACACTTCTGCTTTGAAAACACAATGCCTTCAAGTGTTGGTTGCGTTACAATAATCAGAATAAATTCAGAACCTTAATATTTTAACGAGAAAAACGAGTCTCGTTCATCCCATCTTAAACGTAACTAGAACTATCATTGTGCTTGTAAATTTGAGACCTCGACCGCTTTTGGAGTTGAAGAAAAGGCTACAGGGGATATTAAGGGTGTGTATCTCAGGCTGTGTATCTAAGTCAGTGGAACGCTCCCAAATTATGCACACAACAAGCGCACATTACCATTTGAAACCAAAAAGGAACATCAGGTTATATAAACGAAACCTTCAAAGGAGACTAATCCACAATATTTGGGTGTCTTTCGGCACAAATTGTAGCAATACATTGCAATGTTGTCAACTAAAAGTACCCAAGTAGGGGCGGTTAGCGGGGGCGGGACTGAGTAAACCCGGAAAAAATTGAAGCGACGAAAGTTTTCAAGTAACGCGGGAAGAGCCCTTGGCAACGGAGTCTCTTCAGACCATTTCCAAACATATAAGCCTTACGCGGAATATAGCAAATAGTAACTCTAGGGCCACTTTCTTGTTTTGTTACAAGACCTTTGATGTATCGGCCATACATTTCTGTTTCGCACTTGTAAGGGAAACTTTCATTTTAATTTACTGAAATGGGTGAAATCATTTCGGAAGCAAGAATGATCCTGTATACTTTAATTCATGGATGATCAAGTAGGCGAAATGAAAATTAGGATGAGAAAATGGACATTTTGTCATTCTGAGTAACTTTACGTAGGTGTGAATTCAATTACTTTATGAAATAAAAACACGGTGAGAGAAAAGAACCGACAAAAATGCGAAAATTCAAAATAAATTTTATACACTAAATATTATCAAGGTTAGAGAACGAATCCCCCACATTGGCCTTATACCCAAGGTAACCCTTTTAAGTTATTTTTAGCTCGTCCGGGCATCGCGTTACGTG